ATAGATGATAAAAATCCCAGGCGCATTAACCCAAAAGGTATCGGGCTCATATATATATATATATATGTATACATAACTATATATACACATATACACATATCCCAATTGAACCCCTCTAAACCCCTATATGCTCACGAAAATCCTGAACCATACACCCCAATCCCGAATCCCTAGACTCCTAGACCCTAAACCCTAAACTCTGAACTCTAACACCTAGACCTTAAACCCTAAACCTATTGCAACTACAACCTTATGGTATCCCTGTCCATGCCACCAAGTCGTAGTTACGGGCACCATAAGCCTGGTGGTAAGGTTGCGGGTTTGTGGTTAATGGTTTGGGGTCTAGGGTTTAGGGTTTAGGGTCTGAGGTTCAGGGTCTAAGGTTTAGGGTTTAGGGTTTGGTCTAGGGTTTAGGGTTTAAGGGTTTAGGGGTTCACGCTTACTGAATCTTTCGTGGGGCAGCAGCATGAGAAGCTTCAGTATGATACGAGGTTTAAAGAATCATGCGGGGGGGTTGGTCAGGCTCAGAAACTATGCTGGAAGGTCAAGGGAGTTTAGCAAGTGGCACAGTAGCAATACAAACTAGGCGCCCCCGACACTCTAAGACATAGTTTTGCATGTGGATGGGGGAATAGCTGCTTCTGAAATTTCAAGATTGAGATACTGTTGATGCTGCAAAGTTCTGCTTGACCTCGGTATGGTATAGCAACAGACTTCGCAACGAATAAAGTACTTAGGGTCATGCAAGTTTCCTGCCATCGGTTCTCAAGGTTATCTTTCCGATCTCGGGCCCCTCGATGGATTCCAAGTAGTTGCTTGCAACTGCCGTTTTCAAGGGTATGGCTTATTCACACTGTTATTGGCATTGCTGGCGTTACTTGTTTACTGGTTTGGCGGCTATGCAGATGTTCAGCACGATCCGAGGGTCTGGAAAGATTACCAAGAATGGTGGGATGAGTATATAGTCCCCCTTAGTAGATAGAATATGAGATATATGGGGATCTTATTATAGTACCCAATTCATATTCTATCTATCTACTTGAGGGGGACCATGCAATTGTCTCATATTTCTTTCTCTTCTGTCATACAACGGACATGCCCAAAAGGGCAATAAACCGAATAAGTTCACGGTGGCCCCTGTATGATCACTCATAAGATAATGGTTTTCATCTTCTTGTCCATTCATTCAGTCCCTACTAGCAACCAACCATCACCTCAATCAACCCTAGACCCTGTAGTCCTCCCCGTAAGGCCCAATTTCGGTATAATTCTCCGTTTGATGTTCCATTTGATTCTGCCTACACCCTAAATCCTTCTCCCTAAGCCCTAAACTTTCCCATATTCTTTCAGGCCCGCCTGCCCGCAGAGCGATCCAAGAAGGGCGTCGTTGATCTTGGATTTGGGGTTTAGGGCTAAGGTTAAGGGTTTCGGGTTCAGGGCTGGGCTCGAATGGGAAATCCAGGAAACAACCACTATTTCGTGCTATAGAATTTACAGTTTGTGGGGTTTAGGTTTCAAGGCGTTGGCTTTAGTGAGTTAGCGTGTTGGGTTCCAGGAGTTTGGAGGTATCCCCAAACCGGTAGGAGCCTCCGTCATATCAAACCCCGAGCATGGTGTTGGGCATACCTCACAAAGTTCAGGTTTAAGGTTTAGGGTTATGGTCTAGGTTTAGGTTTTAGAGTTTAGGGTTTGGGGTTTGGGGCTTAGGCTTGTTCTGAACCTCTGCACATTTTTATCAACAGCACAGAAGGCGTAAAACCTGAACCTCATGTCCCAAACCCCCTTAGCTCCCTAAACCCTAAACAAGCGCGGCTTTTGAGAGTGTATAGGAAATAAGGATAAAAACCTCGTAATAACATTTAAGACGTGTTCAAACCTGACCCCTTTAAAAATGTACCACAACCCTAGGCCTTATACGCATCCTACGCAAAGAACTCCAATGCTGGTCCTTCGTCTAATATCATCTCTTGCCAAACCTCCCAATGACCTCCAAAACCTGAAACCCTAAGCCTACACCCTAAACGCTAGATCGTTTCTACAACTGAGGTAGGGCGCGAACACTCCGCTCATGGAGGTCCAGAAATCCGAGAGCGACGAAGCCTCGGACGGCAAATGGATGCTGAGCAACGCTGGGACATATGATTGGTACCACGAGGGATCCAAAAAAATCCTGCATAACCCCAAGTACCCTATACCTTGGAAATGATGCTACCTGACCCAAGATTTTTTGTCTCAACAGTATACAGGGTGTCCAGCAGAATTTGGAGGTCCAAGCTGTCGGATTTAAGGATTTAGAATTTTGGAACCTTGAAAGTGGTTAAGGGTTTCGGGTTTAGGACTGAAGGCTTCGGATTTAGGACTGACTCAGGGCTTACCGCTTCTCACTAGGAGCTTATATGAGCTGTAGTCTAAATTCCTAGTATCTCCCTTAATAAGCTCTATAGTAGTCCCCTATATAAGCCTCCTTTAAGAAGTTTAGATTATATAGCTCATATAACTTCAGACTTGGGGGCTTAACATTGCGGAGCGGCGTGCCTGCATGCTTCACCGGCGTCATCACTCTGGTCACATTTTGGCGGCTGTGTCGTCATGAGGTGAAATATAGTCACTGTGGCAAGTACTTTGACCACCGATCATATTTCATGTCAACTAGGAGCTTTTGTTTTGAGGTCTGCTTTTCGGCTGCAGTTTGTGACGCATTGAGGGGTGTTGTGCGCAACAATGGGGTCATTTTTGATATCCTGTTTCTTCCACGAACGGTTTCGAGATGAAAAGGGTCCATCTCTGTTCCTTCTTTTGGAGTTTTCAAAACATGGAAGGATGGGGTAGGGCAAAAGGATTAAGAGTGTAGCCAGGGTACTACGACCTTGAAACATCACTCCTCAGACTTTATGGTTCAGGGTTTAGTTTTTTTTTTGCAGCTCCTTTTTCCGCCTGGACCTAGGTCGGAAAGCACCATTGTAGAGAAGCGTCATCAGGCTGACAAAAACAAATTCCTGGTAACTTCAACGCCAGAGACCACTGCCAGACTTGCAACATACACGAAGCCCTTACCAGCATCGAGACCCTCATCAGGGTTTAGGGTTTAGGGTTTAGGGTTGCGGGTTTCAGCTTTAGGGCTTAGACCCTAAACCCTACATCCTGCACCCAAGAATCTAAGCTTGCTCTAAACCCTGCAAAACCTTGAACCCTTTCCCCATTACCCCCCAACCCCATACCCTATGCCCCAAAACCTTGTACCCTTAGTTCCATACCTCTTTTCAAGAAAATTACATCGAGGCACTTCGCACCCAGCAGAAGCTGACGTTTCAAACAACAGGAAGGGGGAAATGAAGGCGCTAAACCCTAAACCCTAAGCCTTGACCCTAAACCCTAAACACTGTCCCCATGTTTTTATGGGAAAGCCCCCAGCCAGGCTGCGGTCAGAAAGAGCGTCCCCGAATGGCCAAGAAGTGCGGTGTCCTGTGTCATCAAGATTTAGGTTTAGGGTTTAGGGTTTAAGGTTTAGGGTTTGGTTTTTTAGATTTAGGACCGAGGCCACCAAAAGAGCTGGAACTGTGTTGCAGCCAAGCCGCGTAACTCAGGTATCCATTGTGAGGGCTGGCTATATATCCATACTTTGGTAATTTAATCCATGTTCCCCAACTCTCTGTGGCAAAGCCCATGCTCCTAAGTGAACCCACGATACTAACCTAGCTTCAGTTCTTCTAAATCCGGAAAGCAAGATAACGGTTCATGACAGTCTCAGCAAAAAGGAGGAACCGTCCCTGTGGACGCAAGGTTTATAGGATTGAAGAATATGAAAACTGGAGTTTCCTTGGACCTATATTAAAAAAACTATGTTTAATATTTCCTTAGGGTTATACTATATTCCTTAGGACAATACCAAAACAGGGTTCGGGACATCTAGAGCTTTCGGCTTAGGTTTTGAAAGTTTTGGGCTTCAGTTGAGAGGCTGTATGTACCGCATTCAGGTCTAAGGTTTAGGGTTTAGCATTACCCCCTCAACGCGGGACCCGAGACTTGAGACACTATTATCATGACTGTGGCAGGATAAAGGCTCACATTTCTGAGATATCCCGTGATCCGTGTACATTACTAAGAGCTCAAACCTGGGTAACATTAGGGGCCCTTTCTCTTGGAATGCCTATGGTACGCATTAAAATCTTTAGGGGCTTATAATAGCGTCCCTTTATTTTTGGAAACAACCATGGAGATCTTTGAGTCTTTGAGAATTTGGCCATGCACTTCGCGGAACCTGTATACATTTTATGTTCCACATCATCCGCAACATGGCCATTGCCCATTGCACTTGCTACTAAAAAAGGCACGAAGAAAATGCATCTCTTGGCAAATGGAGCCAAAAAAACATCCTGAACAGCAAATGAAACGCATGTACGACCACCACAAGCACCACTGGCGCTGCCAACCACGTCCAGCACCACTGCTGCCATTGCCACCACCGCCAGCACCGCCGCCGCCACCACCACCACCGCCACGAAAAAAAATGGCAACAACCAGAAGCGCTGCGAAGGAAACGAAAAGTTGAAGATGCAAAATTCATCGAAAACATGGCATAAGTTTGTAAGAACAACAAGCTATTGCCATTGTTTATATACTACTAAAAACGTTGAACAAACGATAACGGTTACAAAAAATAAGATGATGAGAAGCATGTTTGAGCCCAGCATCTGTCGTTTTCATGCCGATCCAAGAAAGGCGCGCCACAAAAGTAGGCACAAACAAAGAAAACAGGGATGCATAGATCCTCAGAAGCCCAATCTGCTTGAGGTGGCTTTCGGGGATCACGACAATTCTACATACAGGCATGTACAAAACACAACAACATGTAAGTAACTTTTTTTTGGCATGTCCAGGCGGTGGTTGGAGGCCTCATTCGTCATCGAGGATTAAGCATCATGGGCCATTGAACCATTATTAAACATTGAAAAAAAGGCTGACAAAATGCTGCTTGGTGTCTGCCCCAGGCTGGAAGTGCCGGTTATGTCATTCAGCACCGACTTTGACCGCGCCAGTTTGGGGTTCCTTGGGTTTTGGTGCAACATTTTAGGCTTTGGGTGTTTGGGGGTTTGGGCTTGCATGAGGGTTCCACAAGTTAGGGGTCTCATAAAAAGGATTCGAATATATTGGGGTCTATATTGGAAGCCCCTAGATTTGTAAAGTCCGAGTCATGTTTGCTGCTCCTCGGCCTGGAGCGTTTTGCGACGTAAACATCTCCTTGGTCCTGCTTCAGCTTGTATAAGTCTTCCCGCCCCCAATATCAAACATCCAGTAGCCCTCAATATCAAACATGCTCCCCAAGATGCAATCGCGTCTCTGGGAAGACTCAACATGAGGCGGCCCAAGGAGGGGGGGGGAACCGGACCCTGAAAGCCTAAATCCTAAACCGCTTGAACATACGAACAGTAATCCGATGACGGCCCAGGCTCACTTGCCCAATCTTTGGCGGAGCCATCTGCGGTGTCAGGTTTGGATTAAAAATTTGGACTTTAGAATTTAGGGCTTCGGAATGGAGGTACCGAGTTAAGGGTGTTCTGTCGCGCGAAGGCTGGAGATAACATGTAAAAATGGTGCCCCAACACACCCAGACGTGTGTTCGGGCGGCTTTTCTGGCGAAAGCACATCAATCGGATCCCAACAACTGGTTTATGTCCTCGGCAGTTGTATTTTTATGAAAAATGGCAAAGCTCTAAGATGGGAGAACCCTGAGAAGCCCCTGGCCAGTGGTTGGCGCATGCCGACAGTAAAACAGGTCGGCTACTTTCGGCGGGGCTACCGCACCGGCACATGGAGGTGCAGCTCATGGACTACAAAAATTTTTAGGCTGGCCTAATAGCTCCATGCGATGGCGTGAACAACTCTCGGTGTAGTTTTGGGTCCAAAAAAGGCGGGCACGGCCTAAGCATACTTGGGTGGGAATCTATGGTGTAGGGTTTAGGGTCTGCAGTTTTGGGTTTAAGGATGAGATGGGTTCGCTGGTGAGCCGCTCGCCCTGCACAAGCGTACATGTCACTTCCGCGCTCGCGCTCCGCCCAAATCTCGACCTTTGCGGGCTCAGTGCTTCCTAACCCCCAACCCCGCAACAAGTTGGGTTTATAACTATTTTTTAGGTGCGGGCACGGAGTGCTCAGGCAAGCAAATGCGGGGCAAGCCTCTGCCCGAACATCGTCTTGCGGGCCCTTCAGAGCTCACGGAACGTTCTAAAGGGACTTTTCAACGCGGGGGCCTTGCAGGGATTTTATGGCTTGAGGTCTCACGGTTAAAGACAATTAAGGTTTAAAGATGCGTATTCTTAAACACGCAGAACTTAAGGTCCGCGACTTTAGGATTTAGGGCTCGGGGCTTTTCGGACGTATGATTTGAATTTGAATGAATTAACAGTTTATGATTTAGTTCTTAAGGTTTTTTAGTTCAAATTTCCGATTTAATGTTTAAATTCAGTGTGTTGGAAACAACAATCAGGGACTCAGGATGCGTTCGTCGATCTTTTGCATAGTGGGACAACTAATGTAAATGCGGCGCCACAAAGCGCAACGGCAGCAAGCGATGGCGCGGCAGCCACAATACGATTTTGGAAACCCAAATCCAATATGATCATGGTTTTGTGGTCCTGAAGCTTAGCACGTCGACATTTCCAAACAGCAGCTACTGTAACCGAGGTGCCACAAAACGCAGCGACAGCGAGCAATGCCATCGCAGCCGCCACGCGACTTCGGGGCCCCAGTCCCAATGAAACCATGGGTTTGTGGCTTTGGGCTTTATAAGCTAATCATATCGACACTTGAAAACAACATCACATTGAAAAAGCGGCGTCATAAAGCACAGCCACAATGAGCGATGACGCCGCAGCCTTCGACGCGATTTTGGAAGCGCAGTCCAAAGCGGGTCATGGGTATGATAAATTCATTTCGCTTCAGAAGCTGTGGCTCCTGCGACACCTTTCCACTGAAATGGAGCACAACTACACGAAGCCCGGCAAAAGAAGACCCAAACCTCCAACCTTAAAAAAGAAAGTGGTCGGGGTGGGAATTGAGCTTTAGTGCGGCGTGCCGCCCACGACCCCTTGGGTCGAGTCGCGACGCTTCCAGGTGGAAACCCTAAACCTCGAACCTTAAACCCTAAATTGTAAATCTTAAATCCTACAGCACCGCTTTAGGATTAAGGGTCTCAAGCTTAGAGTTTACGGTTTAGGGTCCGGTTAGGGGTCTAAAGTTTAGCGTTTAGGGTTTAGGGTCCAAAGTTTGGGATTTAGGGCTTAGGATTTAAACTTTCCAGTTTACGGTTTAAGGTGTAAAGTTTACAGTTCATATGGAGATTTTTTGGACTCCAATTGATGAGGGCTATGGAACCTATATTCGGGCCCCATATCTATGGAAACCGCCATCTGGGAATGTAGGTTTCAATCTGGCCCCGGCGGGAGTACATTCTCAAGAACTAACATACGCGTCATGCGACCAAAAGAAATTCAGCTGTTGCTTCGACGGCCCCAATGGGCACTTTTGGCCTTGAAACAAAACGTTCCTAGCAAAACCTGCGCCGTAACTTTCACAAAACCTAGGGGAACCTTGGACCCTCCACCTTCAAACATCCACCTTCAACCATCAGCCTGCAATCTTCTATCCAACCCGCAGCTCTAGCCTATTACCTTCATTTTGGGTACCCACAGTACCCTTGTCTCTTATTCAAACAATCCATGATCAACTCATCCCACAGCTCCACCGATAAAAATCAAAACCTTGAAACCCCTCCACGGATTAGGGCTTGCATCTGTCCACCCATACCACTACCAACAATGATCATCATTAAGCATAATGCTTCGGAGCCTTGGACTCCTTCCCAAGTAATCCTCTGCATACCTTTAACATGCAAAAAAGCAGGTTTGTAACAACCCCAACACTGGACAACTTGTTTACGTGCTGTATCTCGCACACAAAGCGCTACCAAAACTTGACGATGGAGAACATGTCCATAAATGCCACCGAACGCCATTGTGAAACTTCAAGCCAAATGACATACTTACCATTGGTGTCAATGTGTCCCAAAATAATCGCGTCCCACTAATGTTACAAACCCCTTTATCTCCATATTGCCTGGAAACTTTAAGCAGACAGCATGCCCAATATGATGTATTTGACAACCAAGGCTGAAGTTGACATCAGGGACATGATTTCTTCATAAAATTCCCTTTTGTCAGGTACAACTTTCCCAAAATGTCCGCAATAGCCATCTTGTCGACCCTTTCAACCGGGAAAAAATGATGTCTGCAACAACCAAAGATTGAGAGCTCTGAAAACTCCACCCAAAGCAACCCCCTCCCCCCCCCCACCTGTGTGGGCGGCGGCATGGCGCCAAAACGCTCAACTGGCACAGGGCCACAACAATCAACAATTTCAAAACCCGATACTAGATGACAAATTCGTTATTTCAGCGCCCGGTGTAGGAATACTTGGAAAAGGTGATACGAACATCGCAAATTCAACTAACTGCTCACTTGATCCCTCAAAGTTTGTGTGCACCGAGGACTTCCGATCAAGGCGCTCCATGACTGATCTTTTGCTTTCAATCTTTGCAACCATGTGCCATGTATGGTAAGCCGCTCAAATGTTTAATAAGCCGGCACATGTTCAAAAACGCAAGATGTGTCCTTCCACTGAGCAACTGCATGCCATCTGGAACCACCTCGACATGTATGACCAAACCTTCCCATGCAAAATGCCCACACGAAACATCCAGCATTCCTCACGAAGACTCAAAACATGCTAGCCTACCAGTCTCCCACTGACGTCGCTGCTACGCAGCTACGACATTTGCTGATGCACTACTGTTCCCTCGTTGTTTCTGCTGGCTTCCGAATGTTCTTCCTTCCGTGGAAGCAGCACACTTAATGTGCTTCATTCGCAATGAGTTTTGCTTAAAACATGTTTTTGCAGGCATTCTTTCACGCTGCAGTATTCAATAATTGTTAAATCTCGCAGTAGGCAACAAGAATGCCAAAGAAAGGCATGTCCATTGCTTGTCATTTTGTCTTGACACACAACACATACCATCATGCATGAACCTTGTACTTTTGTCTGTTCCTGCGCCCGAACGTCAGTAGTTTATGGCAAAAACTCACCACCAGGCATTCCAATATTTGCACCGCATCGATGAAACTGCAAACTGCATCATTTAGCTTGATCAGATTGCACGTCCAAGCTCCAGCTCCGACAATGCATCAATAATGGTCTTCTTAAAGGCTCTCGAAGCCAAGCTTTCGTTATGCACTGGAAACAGGGCACAGAAGCACAAGGAGCATACCCAGGCATGCAGTATGTGACAAGCAGAATGCGCAGAGTCAGGACCAAGGAGACACAACGTGCAGGGCCATGAGGGGACCCGGAGGCCCCAGGTTTCAGGTGCCTACAATTCACAGGCAGTTAAGCCAGGCAGGAAAGGGGACGTGTCTCCTAGACTAGTTCTTTAAGCGTACTAAGAGAACCTGTGGTGACGCTTAAGAACCCCACGCATGTTTTCGTCGAACGGTTGAAAAGTCCAGCTCGAACAGACCTGCTCGAAAGAGAAATGCGTCTGAGTCGAGCGGAGATTCTGACTCTAGAAAATCCGAATTTCAATCAATAAAAATTCAAGCATGTTGACAGGCGGACGGAGGCAAACAAAATACCAAAGACCCAGAAAACCTAAACCAGGATTAAAACCAATGGATCTAGTGGTAGCAAGTGGCAACGAGCACAGCTGGAACCTTGTACCATTAAAGTACCATTAAAGCCCAACAGAAAGCTACCCAAAGGAACTCAAACAAAAGTCGGGAGGAGGAAGGTAACATACCCCGGAAATTGCACAGGGCTGTTAAATGAAGCTCAAGTTTCCAGGTGGGATGGGCGGGACTCGACAGACTGAAAAGCTAATGGGCCCCAAAATGTTCGGAACATCACCAGTCTAAAATACGTACAACTCCAGGTGAAGCAATCTGGACAATCATGGTTTTCATGAAACTGCAATCAAACATGTGTGAGGAAACTCATCAAACTGAAAACAACATGATGCA